AATACGCACGATCCTGGCCGATCTAAAAGGAAACTTTTCGAGGGGCTATGAGATAACAACGATTATCTCCTGGGGTTGGACTAAACTTTAGGCATGTTGCCTCAAGATACATAGCTGGGACAATGCTTAGGGTTGATGCAGGTACCATGAGATGCATATTGAGAACAACTTAGAATAGAGATCGGTTCGAACATGAGACGCAAACTCGGGTCTCGAGCCGCTATTGATGTGGTTTCACATCAGGGATTTAATATTGAAAGACCTATGGTCGGGGATCGATGTACAATCTAGCAGACGACCTTACCCTTGCGCTGGCAGTGTTGGACACGTGCATATTTGACTGAAAATTACTTTTTCTGTTCCGCTTCCTCTCAGTCAAGTAGCACAGGCTTCAGGAAGTGCACTTGAAAAGAAAAGAAAAAAAGGCAAGAAGCAAGAAAGAAGGAAAAATTCGTCCTCCTTACTAAACATTCTGCCTTGGTCTCTCCGATCAAATTGTCGAGACTCGCAACTTCCATTGTACCCAGACGGTTCTCCTTCCCCATCCTTCCTTCCTTCCTTTCTTTCTTTCTTTCTTTCCTCGAGTCTCGAACCGAGGGACGTCAACATCCGAGCACATCAACCGGGAAGGAACAAACGGCGCACCGTGGCAGGCATTTGCGATCAAAGTACCGATACTTCCGTCAACCTTACCCCAAAAAGAATGGAACCCTCGATCTCTTCCCGCTTCTAGTCTCCACCATCATCATTGCCAACCGTTATAGTCGCAGATTCAATCCGCCTCATCTATCAAACGAGGAAGAGACAAAACATGTGGTTGTTGTCTCTTTCCTATGAGGACAATCCTCACGCCCTGATCGAAAGTCAATGATCAACCATGATCCTCAAAGATATCTACCCCTCTGCAAGCAAAGTCTCCAAGTCAAGGATGTACTCTGCATGCTGGCTTTCAGCCGTTGCTTGAGCTAGCAGGGATGTGGAGCAAGACCGTTTTTTCTACAGAGACGCCAGAGAAATTGTGGTCGCTGATATCAATTTATTGATTCGCTAGCTTTCTACCGTCGTTCTGCTGTGTCTTTACTATCTTCGAGCGAGTTGTCGCCATCGCTCTCGGTCTGAACGTCAATCATATCGGCTATGTCCTATCTCCATCCAACAAAGTTGAACAGACGACTGGTCCGTCAATTCAACTGGCCGCCGTATTTGCATACTGGAGACCCTGACAGCTGGCCTCCCCCGACTGGCTACCCCACGTTGCCCAGCACGTTTCAATGGAGGACACATGTCCAGCCACACACAGCATGGCCCGAGTCTTTCAAGAAGACGTCCTCAATCTATTCTTGATACGGAATGCTTGTCTCACATACCATAGTGTTCTGAGCACGCGTTGGGCGGGTTGAGACAGGCCATAGTTCAGAAATAATCTCAATTCAGCAACCCCAATCTTTACTACGACACCTGGCATTCGATCAGTCAGCCCAACCTCTCACGTATTCCATTCTGTGATCAATCGATAGGCATCAATAACCCCGCACTGATTGGGGCTTTTCCCTGGATATGTCGTGGTTTAGCTGCCGGGCATGTCCGTGAAGCTATTTGTCGCTAATGATACTCTGACAGCACATGGGAATGCAGTTTTGCTTTTTCTTAACTTCATCGTACCATTTCCTTATGTCTGATCCACTGGTATACACCCGCTCCCTCAACATACTCCGTCAGAATTGGACCTGAGGCAAGCAATAAGTCTAGCACAGAGGACAATGGCCAAGATCCTCAATACTACTACGAGGTCATCAACCATTCAGGCACTCACTCATATTCTAACCGATCTTGAGACAGGCTTCAACACATGGATGTCAACTACGTACCGCATTGCTGACTTGATTCGGATCCATATCAGCCAATCTCAGCACTAGCCATACGATCCCTGAGGCACTCAGTCGATATCCAACACATTGCTTCCACGCCTGTCCATGTCACTGCAACTACAGGGTTCCTATCTTTTAACCATTCAATAACATCCACTATACTACATAACCCTGACAACTCTTTGTATGCTCTTCGAAACCTCGAAGAGACATCTGCTTCGTTGAATGCCCATAGGGTGCATATGGTCAGCCAAGAGTGTAACGCAGGGTCGAAAGAAGGCGGACGAAAAGGTCAACTTTTTGAAAGTATCATCTAACGCTCTGGTACCATGATCAAAGTGTCGTGACTTGGTAACTTGTTGTTTGACTTTGCAAAGCAACACGTGATGTGACCAGAGTTACTGTTTCGAGGACTTGATCGACATATGTGTTCAAAAACCACATGCCCCGACCGTGACCTGGCAGCCCTGGCCACGACCCTCCGATAAACAGTCCGGATGCGAAATAATTCATTGTTATTCTGGTTGCCGGAACTCGGAATTCACCTTGCCTTCGGTGCAAGTCGTCGCTGTGTGGTGGTTGATGATGCTCCCCATCATCATCCGTGTCCTCACAATATCCAAGAAGGGCTTGGTCTGCTTTGCATATCATTGAACCTGGCCTCCCAGAAGCTTCAGTCCCTGCAGCCGCCCTTGCTCCCGGTCGACAAGGGTGGCATGGTGGACATGCTGGCTTGAGCACTCGCATGTTCTGCACAGCGGCTATGTAGCTGCATGTCTAAAATTTGACCAATTACAACTGCAGCATCATCGGGAAGAACAAGCATGGGTCCCTGTTGGGGCGTTTCAAAACCACCAGCCGTCCTTAGGCCCGCCTGTGAGCCTTTTGAGTCTAAGCGGCCATGGACTGGACTGCTCCATGATGCCGTGGGGGGAGCCCAGTCGCCAAGACTAAACCAGCGAGTTGAGTCGCCACGTTTACCTTCTAGAGCCTTAGGGCGTCCACTACCTGGCACACCGGTGCCCGTTAGTCAGTCCTTGGTGGGGGATCCTGACTCTAGTCTACCCGTTCGTCGTGCTGTCAGATGCAGATTGATCAAAGCACAGTAGGAAAAGGACCAAGAGCTACACCTTGGGGCCTGTTGAGTGCTGACAAAAATGCCCCACCGAGTTTGGCCATGTTGAAGACTCAGGCGATTTTCGGTTCTCAGGCTAGCCTCCGGCCGAGAAACAATGTTGGGAGCATTCAAGTTCTTGGAGGAGGCAGGACAATTCCCTGAGACCCAACGCTTGCAGTTCCATGCTGTCTCCAAAGCGGTGATTCGACTACTGAGATAGCAATTGCAATGCTACAAGCCATGTACGACGAGTGTCAAGCTTCTCTTGTGGCCTACTAGGAAGCCATGATGGCATTTCGTTCTGGCCCAGTCACTATATCTCAATCCAATGAAAGCTCACCACGTCTCTGGCACACCACCCACCGCCGCCGCCAGCAACCCCAACGACCAGGACGCAACCTCGATAGACTCCGAGGTCATCAGATGAAGCTTCTCAGATTACTTGTCTAGCTTGTGTCCGTATCTTCTCAGTCGTTGTCTCTCGTCGGGTCGCTGGACGTGCGAATTTGACTACATTGCACATTGTGCAAGACCTGTAACCAATTCCTTGCCACAGTCCGGGAATAATCCATTGTGAACTAAACATGTAAAATGAAGTTCCGTGGTATGGTGAGGAACGGCTTGCCTTCAATCACCAGAGTACGGCGTAGGCTCTGGTGCTTTGAACAACTCCGGGATGTTTTGCCCAGTGGCATGGATGCTTACCCCGGCCTCCGGAGTTCGGGGCTTTGTCCACATACTGCCGCTGCGTTCTTAATCCCCAGATGCGATCTGGCAGCGCTTAGTGCGCTCCTGTAACTCTGCCTTGTAGCCGACCCTGTTGAGAGATCTGACCTATGCTGCATACGCACCAAATTTCATGCTGCGAGTTCTCCATCATGTTGATGGAGTAGTAGGTAGCAGTCTTTCCAGGGACTGTGGACTCTATCGTGTATCGTATCAAAACCATGTTTAAAGAGCCTTGAAGTGCCGTCGGTTTTTCGCGCCCCGATAGAGGCTTTTTAGAGCCTAGTGCTACCCTCACCGCTATTCTCTGACCCAATTGTACCTTTCAGTGTGAGATGTACTGAATTCTAAAGCAACACCCTTTGTGGTGACCTTGGGCGTCAGTCAACAGGGGTGGCCTTCTCATGATAACGGCACGACTTGGTTGCCAGCTCACTTCGGGCTCCACCAGGCCATAACCAAACAGATCTCGAGGGGAGCCAAGCCATGATAGCATCGTTCCCTGTCAGCATCATGCTGGTTGGAGCTTGACGGGTAGGTAGCATGTACTCCGCATCTGCTAGTGGTAGTCCACAAGGGCCTCAGTGAAAAGCAGACAGAAAGAGGCTTGTGTGACACAGGCTGTCCTCATCGAGATATTGCAGGATCGCATCATGATCATGGCTACGTGGGAAAGGTGCCACGGTTTGGATAGAAGGAAGGTCTCAGCCTCAGTGGACCACCTGGGAGCGATTCAATGCGATTCTGTATCTCGATAACGGGGAAACATTACATTGTGCCTAGTGCTTTCAAGTGCACTTTGTGAAGTGATATTGATATTATCGCGTTTCCATGTGCTGCCCACTACGTTAGCCTTCCCGCACATCACATCACGCAGCGGGGTGTTGAAGGGGCTGGGGGACATGTCTATCCACCTGCCAGCTAATGTACGGTACGGGAAGCCTTCATGCATGCACGTACGCGTGCATGCAGACCGGGCGACTGTGGTGTTAATTCGTAATGTACGAATATGTGTTTCAACAGATCACGAAAGGTCTCTGGCAAGCCATAGGGCATGACCTATCTGCTAGGGACACATGGAGGTCGGACCTCATGGGCTGAGGTGGCTGAAAAGTCGGGATGTCATAGCTCCTGACTTTGGTGGCCAAAGTCCTCAACGATGGGTTCTGGCGAAAGGGCCCCCGATCTGAGCAGTATATCTACAGAAGCACGTAATTAATTAAGAGAACAAGGACTTGATGAAGCAGATGGCCGCATCTCGTCGTGTGTATGCATCTGCTGGGGCCGCCATGTCAGTCACTGTCAGTCAACGAAAAGGGACGAAAGTGGAAGTGAGGAGGATGGATTCACAGTACTCCTGGTCAAAGATGCTGTTACCCGCCATGCCCACGGTATGCAAACTCTCAGGCAAGCCAAGGATATAGTACTGATGTACTGTACAGATACCTCTGTGCAATACGGCAGATTATGATATCTCTATTCTTTCGGAGAGGGGTGCTGCAGGTATGTTATGCATACTGTACTGTATGTACAGATGATTGGAGGTGGTGCTTGAAATGCTGGTCTGGATTATTGGTGGCAAATGCTTTCGGTTGTTGAGCAAGGAAACGATGGTTTTGGTGAACGCCTCACCTCGTCTTGGGTTGTATCGAGTTCCTACGATCCTGGTCGAGCCGTCAAGCGATCATTTCTTTCTGCTTCGTTTTCTCCGAATCGATGAGGAGTTTGAAGGTTGAGCCTTGGGGGCCAAGAAGGAGGAGGGGGCTAGGTAATCTAACCACTTTACGAAGGGGGAGGAAAGAGGAATTGGGCGGCCCAGGACCATGACATGACATGACATGACATTACATTACATGGTATGAGCTGGAGTTGCTGGTGCCTGTAGAGGCAAACTCGGCGAGACAAGACGGGCCGTTCACCAGGGGGATGTTCGAAGCCGAGTTGCAAGAGGAACGGGCCTTTCGGACAAGGATCGATGTGATGGAGTTGAGGGTGGCAGGGATACCTCAGATGTGTTGTGTGATTGACATGGCACCGACTGGTCCAGGCAATTCGTGTATCATGACAATGTATATTAGGTCTAGGCGCAAGGGTCAAAGGATGGTCAGAGGGCGACTGCGAGAGATTGAAGAGCTGAGGAGGGACTTGAACGGGATCGCCGCATGTCAGATACAGGCCTCAGCCCGACCCTCAGCCTTGCATGACACACATACATTAAGATGATAGATGAGAGTTGAGGTGACTTATCTAACTTAGGTACCTAGGTTGAGGTGGGCGCGCGGCTCTACCCGCCCGCAGCAGCGCGTGAGACAGGTTGCAAGCCGCGGATGCATTCTATGTCATGTAATGCCATGCCCTGCCATGCCATGCCATATCCTGCTACTTTTGCCTGCTGGGGGTTTTGGGTTTGGTTAATCAACATATCCTACCGCAGCAAACTATTGACCGTTTCATGTATATGACCTACTAGGTTCACCGTACACAGCACTAGTCGAACATGTACATTTAAGTATCCTAGGAGAAACTACCTTACAGGCACACCGATGCCCGTAATATTATATAGATCCAATGCACATCATGTTTGCAGCGGGCCTTTGCTTTGTTTTGCATTGGCATTCTCCTTCACCCAATAAGAGGACTGTGTAAATCCCCAGCCTATGGTCTTTGCTCTGCCCTTCGGAACCGGGTGATGGGAAGGAAAGAAAAGTATATACCCTGCTGTGTTAATTGAAGCTTTGATGATGGTGACAGGCTATTTTCATTCCGGTTTCCCTAATTTTACCCTCCAAATTCGACCATGACATGGCATATGGAATTGTACTTGGTACCTTGGTGTCTGGAGATTGTCAAGGCAATCAGTACACCCGAGTTGGAATCAAATCGGATTGAATAGCATGGTATAATAAAACACACCGGTTGAAGGACTTATGCGAACGACAAGGATAATAGTTTGGCCCACCCTTCAATGTAAATGTCTTGATGTTTCGATACCTTAACCAATGTGATGGTGATAGTGATGGTATACTAAAATCTAGGGTAAGCGCTTTAATCAGACTCATGTGACTACGCGTAGACGTGGTTGATATTTGGCCGCAAGCGCCAAAGCCAAAAGCGGAAACAAGACACAACGGCAAGAAAATGACGGCAAACACACTCCCACAAGGCAAAGAATGCTTCATCATCAACGCTCATTCAAAACTGGAATTGACGATGTTAAACCCCAACCAACCATAACCCTCCGTCATAAGCCCAAAAGTATAATATAAAAATGTCTCACCCTATACGAAAGGCCGCTGAGCCTCAGCACGCTGCGTCTTTTGACCCATGGAACTCATCGTCAACCGGTCACCAACGTCCGGAATCACGCCCCGGAACTGGCTGGTGCGAGTCCCGTAACCGCAAGCTCAACAGCCAATTCCGTAGCGGCTTATCTGGTGGCAAGCGTCTAAGCGACACATGGGGCGCTGGCTCAGAGGATTACGATGTGAAGCGCAAAATGTTGGTCCCCAAGGCTGTGAAAGAGAGGGCACAGCGGAGTGTGAAGGATATGCTCGTGCAACCAAGCAAGATGCGTGAGAGTTTGGGGGTGAAGGATGAGGCTCAGGGAAAAGGACAAGAAGCACCCATGGAGTCAAGAAAACTGGAGGATGAAGCGAGAGAGGCAGAACTGTCTTCCCGAAGAATGTTTGATGGAGTAGTTGTTTACGTGAACGGGAGTAGTTTTCCTCTCATATCAGATCTCAAGCTGAAGCAGCTTGTTACCGAACATGGAGGCCAGATGTCACTGCACCTCGGACGCCGGAAAGTCACCCATGTCATATTAGGAAGGCCAGCTGGAGGATACACGGGTGCTGGAGGAGGTCTTGCTGGTGGGAAACTAGAAAAGGAGATTCGGAGAACGGCTGGATGTGGAGTTAAGTTTGTTGGTGCTGAATGGTACATGTAACCCACATCTGAACTTGAGCTACGACTAATGACATCCAAAGGATTCTCGAAAGCCTGCAGGCTGGAAAAAGACTACCCGAAGCACGCTTTTCCAATACTAAGATAGCACCCAAGGCACAGGTCAGTGTCTATAGCCTCTTCTCGAGGCAGTCGAGTGGCCAGTCTTCTAAGGACTGAACTACCCTCACCTAGGGGTCATGTTTTTGTTTACCGGAGTTTAGGACAAGGGCCATAATCAGTTTCGGCCACAACCTTACACCTGCATCTTCGGGTAGGAATGGTCAAACATTGGAAGGTTTGCTTAGAGTAAACGGTCGGTAGCGTGGAACAGGATATATGTGATTACTAAAACGGCTGTGATGTAGAAAGCTGGAGTTTGGCATGTCCTCGCGGGCAACAGAGGCTCGTCTCGAATTGGCTTGCTCTTAGAAACCATCAATTTTTTAGTTGTAACAAGAATGAGTGTCTGGAATTTCATGAGAGCCTCATCTGCTAACTTGGCTCCGCATGACGTGGTCTAACTAAAGGCCGCTACCGAATCTGTAACTGACGCTTGATAAAGAAATCGAGTCACTGTATCTTCCCACCAATATCATGCCACTCACATCTACCAGAAACACCCGTTCTAGAGGCGAGCCTTCACCATACTATCCGTCTCGGTTTCTGCTCGTTCAAAGTACTCCCTGATCTTGGCACGAGCAACAGCCAATGTCGACACATCTTCAATCGTGCTAGGAACCGCCACTTCCTTTTCGAAGTCACCACGAATAGCGTTTTCCGCCATCTCCTTGAGTACCCGTCGTAGCATTTTGCCAGACCTTGTTTTGGGGATCATTCCTTTGCCCTGGATGATACCGCCCAATGAGGCTATAGCACCAACCTGACCGCGGACTAACTGCTGTATTTCCTTGACGACTGATTCACTTGGTACTGCTGGATCTGCGCAGCCTTGTCCCGAAAGCGCTACGAAGGCGAAAGGAAGCTGACCCTTGAGTGAATCTGGTACGCCAATAATGCAAACCTCAACGACACGAGGATGGGCTGCAATGGCCTGCTCAATGGATCCTGGGCACTGTTAGCCCATATTCAAACGGGAAGAAATAGAAACATACCACTGGATAGACGATGGGCGCTGACGTTCAAAACATCGTCGCTGCGTGCCATCACATGGATATAGCCTTGCTGGTCGATCCAGCCCGAATCACCAGTATCTAGCCACTTTCCCTCGAATCTTTTCAAGTAACCTTTCCAGAAGCGCTCTTCATCCTGCCACAGAGTGCGAAATCCTGTTGGAGCGAGAGGCATTGCCAGGACAATATTTCCCATGGATCCCCTCTCAACCTCGTTGCCCTCATCATCCACGATACGAACGTCAAAGCCTGGCATTGCTTTCCCAGCACTACCAGCCTTCAGGCAAGGAGGGGGGTGTCCACGAACGTCCGTCTTCCGATGTTTACCAGCGTGTGGGACAAGCGCTCGCCCAGTGATGGGGGAACCAACTTCCGTGGACCACCAGTTATCAACTACATGTGCGTTTTCAGCGCAATATCGGGTCATGAGCTGCTGGTAACTCTCAATAAGAGTAGGCTCGGAGCGCTCTCCGGCGAGAAAGAGACCTCGTAGACTCTTGAGAGCACCCCGTTTGCCGTAATCGATGAAGGATTGGTTATTGGGGTCATCGCGCCTGATGGCACGTAAAGCTGTTGGCGCTGTAAACATGGTGTTGACTTTATACTCTTCAACTATTCGCCAAAACGACGAGGCATCAGGGGTGCCGACAGGCTTGCCCTCGTACAGGACAGTTGCAGCTCCCGTGAGGAGCGGGCCGTAGATGATGTATGAGTGGCCGACGATCCAGCCAATATCTGAGGCCGTAAAAGAAACACATCCAGGTCCATGAATATTGAATAGATAGCTGATGGATAGGTGCAGACCAACAGCGTGACCACCAGCATCACGCAGTACACCCTTTGGGGATCCAGTTGTGCCTGAAGTATGTATGATATAAACAGGGTCGGTGCTCTTGACTGGCACACAGTCCGCCTTGATTCCTCGAGATCGGGCACTGTCAACTAATCTTTTCCAGTCGAGCTGACCAGCCTCGCGGCCGAGATTCCAATGGAGCTGATCCCTTTGCCAGACAATAACGTTATGGGGTTTATGACCAGCCAACCGGATTGCTTCCTCTACCAAGCTTTTATATGCAATTGGAGGTTTATTGCCGTCAATACCACAAGACGCCGTCAGAATAGCGACAGGGTGGCATGAATCGATACGTTGCGCCAGAGCATTAGGGGCAAAGCCACCAAACACGATAGAATGGATAGCTCCCAGTCGATTGGCAGCAAGAATACCTATCACGGCCGCGGGAATCGTAGGCACTATTACTCATGTTAGATGCCTGCAGTACTATGGGGATTGGTACATGGTCTACTCGCTGTACAGCATGACTACATCGCCCTTCTGTATGCCTTGCTCTCTGAGAGCACCAGCGAGAGTCTCAACCTCGCGAAGGAGCTGACTGTATGTATACTTTGCTTTTGTGTTTGTCACAGGACTGTCAAAGTATATAGCGATGGAATCACCATGTCCATCAAGTACATGTCGATCAACACAATTGTAACAAGTCGATATTTCGCCGTCTGGAAACCACTCCCAGCTGTCGTGTGTGACACCGTTCTTGAGGGTTTTCTGGGTGAGCTGGATGGTTGAAGAGTATGGCTTGTGCCAGTGAAGATGCTCGGCTTGGTGTCTCCAGAAGTCTTCAGGGTCCTCAAGACTATGCCGAAGTACCTCGTCCTGAATATGTTGATCTTCCTGGTTGTGAGGCATCGTTGGTAACTCTTTTTTAGCCTGAATCCTAAGCTCTTTTTTTAATGCTGTGCATGATAGGGATGAGTAACTTCGTGCTTTTGTCGACCCCAATGGTTTTGGCTTGGAAGGATATCTTGACAACAAATAACAGCCACGATGATGAAAGGGGCATATCGGAGGGGAGACCGATAGGCTACGGGGACGAGTGTATATGATAAATTGAATGGCTTGTCTTAGGCTCAACGGCATCGGGCCTCGTTACCGACAAATTCCGGGCCGTCTGTGACGGTGTATAAATAACTCTGCCTGGACGACGATCTCCTCCACAATAAAACCGTCCAATGGAGGTTTCAAAGATCAAGTTTGATGAGAGAAGTCCAGGTGAGGGAGTTTGACTTTGATACATGAATAGCAATATCGGATCAAAGGAAGTGCTATTAAGTGAGGAGATAGGTAATGTATCTTAAGGCGAGGTGAGTCCAGTGAAAACTACCTTGCACTATTGAAGACTGGCAGTGCCAAGTAACATTGTAACGAGATGATTCCTCCCTCAAACTCATTCCCATCCCTACCACCAGCTGCGGCTCTCCTCAGCTTGCTTGGCAGGGCGAGTGTAAGTGGTTCGCTGGCTTCATACGAGAAACCTCCCCCGCATTACGCCAGGATGGCCGTCCCATTTGTCCGGTAGGCCTTACCGGTAACGGTCGGATCGGTATAAGGCCGAGCCGTGATAGTTAATAATTGCTGTGTTCGTTGGTAATGTGTAAAGTTTATTTGGTGGTTTATGTCTAAGGCGGTGATATCCCGGATATTCGGGATTGTAGCTCTGATCTACTGCTGTAGTACACTTCTTAGGTAAACAATGTGACAGGGTGACCTTGACGGTATGCCTCACCGCATTAAGGGACTCTTTTTATTTATTTATTTAGAAAATGTAATCTCTTCGTATGCTGAGAAGACATAGCTATGCGGTGGTTGTATTCATTGGTGGTACTTTGTTCGATTCCATGTCGTGTTGCGTGAAAGTACATGTTTTCGGTAACCAAGCGCAAATCTACCAAAGTAACAGGAAATCATGCGCCCCTCAACAGCCCCTGGGCCCTTTGAAGTGAACGAACGTACTTGACAAGCTCGATGAAAAGTGCTCTTCATAGGGAGGTACTGCAGCTCTATACTATACCACATTCCTGCCAGTACCAAAGCACGGGTAAGTTATCAAGTGAACAAACGTTAGCTTTGTCTCGGCACATAACTAAAGACTGAAACAAAGACCCAAGACATTTTCACAGCGCAAACACGACAACAGAGTTAAAAATGCCGAGCCAAAACTGGCCTCTCAGCAATGCTTGCTTTGCCTTGACTATGATACATGGTTTTCCGGAGGCTCGCAACAACATTGAATCTAATTGACAAGAGACCATAAACACGCCTAGCTTTAGGGATATATATGTGCACCAGTATCCTGACTGCGAATATTAAAGACACTTGGCATCCCAAAAATATGTATCAATAGGAAAGGAGATTCGAGGTTGGAAATGCGTCTCTTGAAGTTATTGATGGAAGCAGAAACAAAGACGAACCGCGAGTGAAGCTAGACAATATCGTCATGTTTTGCTCAAGGCAAAAAAACACATTATATTCCCAGCCCCGAAAGAAGATCTCACACACAGGGAATATGCGAGCTCCTTCCGAACACCGAGACAAAACTCATATACAAGAATGTCTCAACTCCTGCAAAGCGTGGCCATCATTAGACAAGACTCCATAGAGCATTGCAGAGGTATACCGGTTCTCCCGTGTCGTATGTTCGTAACCCAAAATAAAAAGTTCTATACATTCCCTGAAAGATCGCTTGCATCCCCAACTGAAACGAAACCATCGCTAACTGTCCCACACCACTCCATCACGAATGATGGAAGCTCCCACGCGAATCAAGTATTACTGAGCGTAAAGCATCGTAGGCACGACGTGGAATAGGTTTGCTAGCTGTTGATTTACAGGAAAGCAGCGAGACCGACGACGGCAGCGAGACCGGCACCGGAGAGAGCGGCGACCTTGCCGGCACCGGCGGTGGGGACCTCGGAAGGAGCACCAGCGGTGGGGGTAGCACCGGGACCAGCAGGAGAGCCGGGCTTGCCGCTCTCACCACCGTGGCCGGGCTTACCGGTAGGGTAAACGGGGACAATGGTGGAGTTGTTGCCGTGGTGGGCGGGAGGAGGAGCGGGGCTGAGACACTGTTAGTATTTTGATAAGGCTGATGATGTTGGATATAACTTACCAGTCGTGGCAGACGACAGCGGAGGTGGTGATGACGGGCTTGGTGACGGTGCAAGGGCAGTCAGTGATGGTGAGGGTGGTGGCCT